AAAAAAGTAGACTGTGTTTGATTTACATATCAGTGCTTTTTGGAGTTGTGAAAGTGTGAAAACAGCAGTAAGCCTATGACAAGGTGCTCTGAGGAGATTTGTTTCTTCATGTGGATAGTGTTTACCTTACCAAACAACACCAGAGGCACCAAGATCTGCAGCTTATCCCCATGGGGGACGTGATACGATACAGCAAGGGTACAGTACCTTGTACACACTTCAGGGAGGAGCATATGTAGGTGCATTTGTGTATGTCAGGACAGATTCTACACAGCCGCACTTACTTACAAATTCAGCAACTATTTCTGTCTTCTGTCTCTCTCCCTCTGTGCGTTGCAGATAAGAAAATGGCTCTAGCAGCCGTATTAACAGTGTTTCCAGAAACCGCCATTGTTTCCTGAGCCATTACTAAACAGAGATTAAAATTAATAGCTTAAGTCATGGTGCCATTAGAATTGGTGACAAAACATTCAATCCAGTTTGTCGTAAGAGTGCTACCTTACCATTCTGTGTGTACTGAAATAAGTTGTGCTGGTGTCATTATTTATGTCTTTATTCATGCATGGCTCTTAAGTATGGGACATTTTTGGTTTAAAAGGGAAATATATAGACTCACTGTGAGGTTGGCACTCTGGTTACAAATGGTGATATTAATTATATAAATTATTATAATTATGGTAGGGCATCGTTAAGGGGCTATAAGGCATTCAAACATAACAAAGGGCTCGAAAACAAGAGAAGAATCAAGGTTGTGTCTACACGTGAAAGACAACAAAGAACCCATTTCAAATTATATCTTAAAGCACAGCAGTGTTCACAGCAGTCTGTTGCATAATGTGTTCCAAATTTCTTCAGTTGAATCTAGATTAAGATCACCAGAACACCAATTTGATAGTAATTTAATTGTATTTTTGCACTCACAAAGTGCTTCAAAGGCCTATTAGCTGAAATATTGCCATATCTCAGCATGGTGTGCACGGGGTCCTTAACTGGGTGCATAAAAGAAGTGCCAGGCCTAAAAAACTATCTGACCTGATCAGACAAGGACCTGAGAAATGCATCTGGCCCTGCAGCTGATCCTCGTACTGTTCGTTGAATTCAGAAATTTATTTTAAAAAGCCATTATTAAAAAAGGAAAACAGCGAGGAAAGGCCGAGTTATGCAAAATTACTCAAGAACTGGACGGAAAATCAGTCAATCCAAATTATTGTCTGAATGTTTGGAGGAGTTGGCATTTCAGCCAGTGGTGTTTGCCACTCTGCACACGTTTCAGTAAATTCCTGCACCCATTTCCCTAGCAAAATATAAAGAAATGATGCGTGGCTCAAGACTTTTGCACAGTACTGTGTGATAGGTAAGAAAAGCTACAGTTATATGCCAGTTTGTTTGTTTATTAAATTCATTTTAGAATTTAAAAATGGCTTGTAGGTCACTGCAGGTGTTATGGGAAAAAAGAGACGTCAGCATCATAATGTTACTGTGCATTGCATAGTAATGGGATTAGTGTTAAATCTGATTATATTTTAGGCTCCCAGTTATTCCTACTACGTTGTTTCTTTTTCAAACATTTCTTTTGTAAAATCCCAAGAATAAATCTAATAAAAAATGAAGAAATTTAAAGATGTGGACTAAGTGATGTGTTGAATCTTGAAAAGTAAGCAGGGTTGCTGTTGCTGAACAGAGCACCGAAAGATATGCATAACTAAATAATCGACTTTAGAAAATAGCCTGTAGTTTACTTTTAATGGAGCTTCCTTTAGTAGCACCATTTTTATATTTTGTTATTGTGTATGTGCAGCTGGAGTAATATCAGCAGGTCTCACCAAACACAGCTGCATAAAGAGAGATATGCTCACACCTTGAAAGGTTTATTTTGACATTTCATGCTTGCCAGTGGCAGGTTATTAAGTTCTTACAGCGCAGCAGACTCGAGTTCAAGCCCCAGCAACGCAGAGCGATGATGAGCGATGGAAGTAGAAACACACACGCATTCATCATAACCCTGATTTATTGGGGAATAACCTTTTGCGTTCAGCTAGTCAATAACTTAGCGTCTCTTTGTATTGGCTGCATTTAATTGTTGACAACAAGAGCGAGAAGGAAGCAAAGGACGAACATGCAGCTAAAATGATGTAAATGGCCTGCATTTGTATAGCGCCTTACTCAGTCCCCAAGGACCCCAAAGTGCTTTACACTACATTCAGTCATTCACCCATTTACAATGGCAAGCTACATTGTAGCCACAGCTGCCCTGGGGCACACTGACAGAGGCGAGGCTGCCGGACACTGGCGCCACCGGGCCCTCTGACCACCACCAGTAGGCAAACATGGGGTTAGTATCTTGCCTAAGGATATTTGGCATGCAGTCAGGAGGCAGCCTGGGATCGAACCACCAACCTTCTGATTAGTGGCTGCTCTGCCACCTGAGCTACAGCCACTGATGTAATTCAGTGTTGCAGTTTTCTTTAACTAGTGTTGGTTTTAGTATTATTTTTAGAAATTCACATGATGCTTATATGTTTTTTTGCTTGTGAAATGATAGAATACATCACAAAGAGCTTTGTGCGCTGATTGTGTAATGAAAGTTAAACTGGAGGTGCAATAAATCACACTTCCCAATATTTTTCAAGTTTCCTTGCTATTGAACTTATCTCATTGATCCGTCAGCTCTGCTCTCTCTCTCGTACCAAACAAGCTCATTTTCTGAACACGCATAAAATCTCTGTTTCTCTCTGGAGTTAACGCAACTAAATGTGCTGCTAAATCTGTGGGACTTCAAAGCTGTTTTTCTCTGCTCTTTTGCCAGGGTCATCACAGATAGCCAACTGCTATCTGCCTCCCCAGGCAAGACTTAAAGCTTTGACTGTCGGTTTGCGGTTATAGTTCAAACTTGGCTTCAGCATTCAGACGACCAGGAGCAGCAGAAGCAGCACCAACTACACACACATGAGAGCCGGAGCACAGAGAAAAATATGAAAAAGATATATATTGGCAAAACTGCTCTCAAAACCCAGAGAAACGGTTGCAAACATCAAAAAAGGAGGTAAGACGAGTCAGTCAGCAGAGTTATTCAGAATCTAAACATCGACCGCATCATTGATGAATCCATTTCATTCATTTTAACTCGTGGAAATGGATTCTCATTGGGAGGTTATAACCATTAAAAAGCCATTAAAAACATAGCGTTGTATCTATTCATTGCCATTGCTCATCATCACATCCCTTCATGTGTTGGCTGACATTTAAATCTAGTTTAATGGCACTCTGCTTTGGACCAAAAACAGAGGACACCAGCAAAAGGTTTGGGGCTCCTTGCCATGTATTTTTTTAACAACATGACTTGAAGCTGGTGTAAAGATTGTGTTGCAAAATCACTTAGGAGGGCAAACCTGCATCGGGATATTGAACAGATAAAATAAACTATCCAGCGAACGTCTCTGTTTCTCTCTTTGTAAACAAGCAAGAAGTGTTGTGTTTAGCTGCTGGAGGTGCAAGCGAACTGTTTGACCGTTCCTCTAGTGTTTATAAGCTAAAAGCATTCTGGCTCTGATTCCATACTTGAAGGGTAGCATCACATTTTGTATAATACACTTGTTTACGTCCCTACACAGAGTAAGCCTGCAGACACCGTGTCCGAGGATTAAAACTGCGAGGAGGGGGGGACCTAGAGCAGTTTTATGTCTGTATTCACTTTCGTCTACCACAGCATCAACAAAAGTGAGTGCTGACATGGTATTCAAACCACACTGTCCCAGGTGAAAGTGTCTACAGAAATTAAAGAGAAGTGTGATTGGCCTTTCCATCATGGGCTCAATATCACGAAGACAAAGTACCCAGGAGGTCTTAGACCAGTTCCTTTAAAATGTGCTGAAAGATTTTAAACTGGTTTTAAACATGTTACTAACTCCATCTCAAAATGCAATTCTTAGACCTTTGCTGACCTCGGTTTAGCATATGATCAAGACTAGAAGAGAAAAAAAACGTTCACAGTACCTAGCATGAGGTCCCATGCATATAAGATTACCTCTTATGACTTTATAAAGGCTTAATTAGTGCAGATTCTCAACTGAGGACACAGACGTGAAGGCTAGCCTATTGCACCACCCATTTACATGGCATAGCCTCTAAGTTACTATGGACACTCCAACTTTAGTGTCAGATTAGCTTGAGGGTTAGAACCGAGGTGAACTTGGAAGATGCTGTCATTGCGCCTGCTGGATGGTTAGGCCGAGCCATCAAACCTCTCCATGAGCCAAGTATCCATCAGTTTGGCACAATGCTAAATCCCCCAGAGCGCACATGGCTCCTGCTCCCAATCTTTATAGCCTTCCACTACCATATCCATTCCCACAGTCAGTCCTGTCAGCGTGTTTTCATTGTTAATGCGCAAAACTGCATCAAACACACAACCAAAGTATTTCTTCCTGCCTGGTGTTGTTGACAGGGATGGTGTTGAAACAGTGCTCTTTTGGCCTCTCATTCTCTCTCATGCCATCTTTCTTTTAAAGCCTTCTCGTACACAAAGTTGTGTTTCATTCTGTATTTTCGCCCCTTCTTCTATGAATCACCAGTGGTCCAAGTCCAGGGGCAAAAATCTTTTTCTATTCTTTCACACATTTGATGGTGAAGGGGGTGGAGGGTGTAATAAAAATTCACCATTACACCGATGGGAGCTCCTTTCCCAGTTCTACTCCTTTTTTGTGAATGGGAAATGATTAGTAGTCCTCCTCCATCCATCTACTCCTCCCCATCGGCCTCCCTGCTATCCCCTGCCTGGGACCTCTCTGACCCCAAACTGAATTACACTCCAGCTACACTTCACCCTTTTCCCTCCCTCTCACACTAACACATAATGCCTTTTCAGCTTGTCTCTGTTTTCTCTAGCATTCTGTGCTTGGCTTGTTGAATCTGACAAACTGACAGAAATAAAAGTGCACCACTATTGTGCGACTTTATCTTCTTCTTTCCTTTTCTCTAAACGCTCTCTGCTATCTGTTCAGCTCATTTCACGACCACAAGGATGACCTACGTAAGCGCCTGTCGTACACTACCCACAAACTAGAGATGGTGGAAACTGAGTTTGACTCCACTCGGCAGTACCTCGAGACAGAGCTGCGCCGGGCCCAGGAGGAACTGGAGAAATTTACAGAGAAGCTGCGCAGGTGTGTGTGCTCGCGTGCATGGCTTTATGAGATGGCTGCCTTTTTATTTATGCATTTTGTGGCACAACTTTCATTTCCTGGTTTTAGCTTAAGAAGGGCAATTTTTGGGACGTAGGAAGCAAGTTTTATTGAGAAAATGAATACGGTTTAGATAAATCATATTGAGTCTACATATTTACAGTTTTCACTTTTATACATTTCTGTTGCTTTTTAATTCTTTGACAGTCAATTATCTGGGTCTTTTCCAGTATTTTAAAAGACTTCTCGCAGGTGGTTTGAACACCACCCCGTCATCCTCTTCTGCTTTTTACTTAGGTGGTGGTGGCAACAGGCTAAGCAGGGTATTCAGAACATCTCACAGAAGTCTGAATGAAATGGCCAAATAGCTTTGAACTGATAGGAAAGCAACGGTAACTCAAATAACCACTAGTAACAACCAAGAATGTTAAAGACTGAAGCAGATTGGCTACAGCAGCATAAGACCACACTACTCAAGGCGCCATTCCTATCAGGCAACAACAGGAAACTGAGACTGCAATTCACCCTGCTCACCAAAACTGGACAACAGAAGACTGGAAAAGTGTTGCGTAGTCTGATGAGTCTTGAGTACTGCAACATTCAAAGAGTGGGTTTAGAATTTGGCATTAACAGCATAAACACATCGATCCATCCTACTTTGTGTCAACAGTTCATGCTGATGGTGGGGTAATGGTGTCTGGAATATTTTCCTGGCACACTTTGGGCCCCCGCAGTATTCTCATAACCATTATTTAAACACCACAGCTTTATTACCACCACTTTATGACCACAGTGTATCCATCTTCTGATGGCTGCTTCCAGCAGGATAATATACAATTTCACAAAGCTCAGATTATCTCAAATTGGTTTCTTGAACATGACAGTGAGTTCATTGCATCTAAATGACTTGCACAGTCACCTAGATGCAATGAATAGTCCGATAGAGTACCTTTGGGATGCTGTGGAATGGGAGTTCTTCAGCAGGTATGGGAGAACCTGGAAAACCTCCAAACAAATACCCTAACAACACAAATAGGGACTTTGCTCCAGGATTATCCAGTCCCTTACCATTTTGCTAAGACTGAACTCAGCCACCATAAAGAGGGAAAGCATCTTGACTTGCTTTATGATTGCATTCTTTTGGTTGTTACCAAGGGCTCATGACCATAGGTGAAGGTAAGCTCTCTCTTAACTACAGCAATCCAGTACAATGCCCACAGTGCTGTTGATGTTGCAGCAATCTGCCAGTACATCCTCACTTGGAACAGCTCCAGTGGATGCCAGAGGCACATAAATGAAGCCAGAAGAACTACATCATCAAAAATCAAGGATGCAACTCTGAGTTTCCCAAAATAGACACCGTCCTATTGGGAAGGTTACTTTTAAAATATATTCCACTACAGATTACAGAATACATGCCCCAAAAT